ATGCCTAAATATGAAGAGAGAAGGATCTGAATGGCAACAACTAAATCCAAGTTTCATAAAGTAATTTGAAAGCCTCTGGAACCAAGCACGAGGAACTTGTTTCAAGTCATAGATACATTTATTTAGTTTGCACACATGATTTGGAAGGTGAGGATTTTTGAAACGTGGAGGTTGAGCCATGTAGACTTGTTCCTTGAGATCCCATGGAGGAAGGCATTTTTGACATCTAGTTGACGTAGGGGCCAGTTGGATGTGACAGCAATGCTAAGAACTAAACAAATTGTTGCTGGTTTGACGACGGGGCTAAAGGTTTTTGCATAGTCAATCCCTTCTATTTGAGAGTAACCTTGAGCCACTAATCGAGCCTTATATTTATCTATTGATCCATCTTCCTTGAGTTTGGTTTTAAACACCCATTTCGATCCTACAATATTTATTTTTGGAGGAGGAGGAATAGGATCCCAAGTATGGTTTTTATGGAGAGCATCCATCTCTTCTTCCGTAGCTTTGTACCAATGAGGAATCTTAAAAGCAACTTTGTAGGACTTTGGTTCACTGATTGAGGTAGAGGTTAGGAAGGAAAGATGTTGGTTTGGGTGAATAACTCCGGGTGCAGTTTGGTCAAAATTAGGATGGCTTTTAAGCTTGCTTCTGTTTATCATGTGATGAATATTTTGGTTTGTCGTTGTAGTTGCTTCAGAGGAAGAATAAGTACCTACAGAACATATAGGTAAGTCTACATAAAGTTGCTCACTAATATCAAATAAATTAGAGAAGTTAGAGGGATTAGAGAGCTCATTTGTTGGAATGTGATGTTCTGCATGGGCATGAAATTCTTAGTCTGTATATGCATCAATTAAACCTGCACATGGATCACTCTCTAGCATATTACTAGTGCATTTTGAAGGATTTATTTGTCCTTCCTCAAAATTGTTCCCTTGATGTTCGACGATGGAGGGAGTGAGTTGTTCTCCATCAAGTTGATCTTCCTCAAAAGTGACCAATTGTTGTTTTGGAGCAATGGATAGTTGTTCACTGTTGGTGCTATGTCCTTCCTCAAAATTTGCTTGCTGATCATACTTGATGTTCTGGTTTTTGGAAGCATGATCTTTGATCCATTCTTCAAAACCTGTAAACTCAGTGACTTCAAGAGTAGGTGTTATATCATGAATGGTATGTGTGTGTTTTTGATAAGGAAAAACTTCTTCATCAAAGATTACATGTCTTGAAATGTAGACTCTATGATTTTGAGGATCAAGACATCTATAACCTTTGTGAATAGGACTATATCCAATAAAAACACATGGATAAGTTCTTTTTGAGAACTTWTTTGAGCAATAACTTCTTAAGTACGGAAAACACTTACACCCGAATACTTTTTAGACAATTGTAATTGGGCTCTCTTTTAAAAAGTTGTAAAAAAGGAGATTTCATCTTTAGAGTAGTAGAAGGCATACAGTTTATCAAGAAAACAGTAGTAAAAAATGCATCAACCCAATATCTCATAGGAACATTTGATTGGAAAAGAAGTGTTAGATTGGTTTCTACAATATGCCTATGTTTTCTTTCAGCAACACCATTTTGTTGAGGTGTGTGTGGGCATGAGAATTGGTGATGAATCCCATGTTGTTTTAAGTGACTTTTAAAAGCAAGAGATGTAAACTCTCTACCTCCATCACTTTGAAAAACTTTTATCCTTCTATCAAGTTGATTTTCTACCTCCTTTTGAAACTTGATAAAGCATTGAAAAAAGTCAAATTTCCTTCTAAACGGATAGAACCATGTAAATCTAGAGAAGTCGTCAATAAAGCAAACATAATATTTAAAATTTTGACTGGAGTTGATAGGAGCAAGACCCCATAAGTCGCAATGAACCTTTTCTAAGGGAAATTTACTTAAGGTCGAGCTTGGATAAAAGGGAAGATTACAACTTTTTTCCATTTGACAGCTAGTACAAATATTTTCAGCTTTTCTCCAGCTAGACATATCAATAAGATGTTTATCAGCTAAAAATGTTAAGGCTCGTTCATTTAGATGACCTAAGCGTTTGTGCGAAATAGATGAAGAGCATTTATTAGAAGCAAAGAAAGCAGTAAAATCCTTGTTGACAGCAACTTCCTGTTCCTTTAAAGCATAGAGTCCATTTCTTCTAACTCCCTTGGCCATGATCAATCCCTATTTGTTCTTCACAATAAAATGGTCAGTAAAAAATTCAACGGAGCAGTCATCATTATCCGAGGTCAGTTTCTAACAGGTAACAAGTTCTTTTTTATATCAGGAACTACTAGTACATTATTTAAAAAGAGTTTATTGTTTCCTGAGTTTATTGTGCTCTTGTCTATGTGAGTAATTTTTAATCCTTCTCCATTGCCTACGTATACTTTATCTCTACCATTGTAGCTTTTTATACTAGTCATCTTACCAATGTTATTGGTGATGTGTGCTGTGGCTCCAAAATCAGTGTAGACTGTGGGGTCTCCATCCTCAAGAAGACTCATAGCTGCAAGCGCTTTTGGTATATCTTCGGATTGATACGAGTGGTCAAACCTATTCCAACGGTCAATAGCCACATGATTTGTTTTTCCACAAATTTGACATGTTACCTAGTCTTTAGATTTGGTAGAAAATTGTTTTGTTGGAGCAGAATGAGTGATCTCCTTATGAAAGGTCTGTTGACCAGAGTTGGAATTGTGGAAGTTTTGTTGTCTGTTTTGAAGGAAACCCCTTCCTCTAGAAGAAAATTGCCTTCCTCGAACTCTACTTCTCCCTCTTTGACTATAGTAAGCATGACTATGATTGATTTGGGAGAATTTTTCTTCTTCAACTTCAACAGATAGCATTTAATCATGTGCTTTGAGAGCCAAGATAAACTGATTAAAAGTAGGATATGTGGACTTTGACAACATTACTGTTCAAAAACCTTGATATTTAGTTCCTAGTCCTCTAGCTAAATGAAATACTTTTTTGAGATCATCCAAGGGCTTTTTGATTGCAGCAAGTTTATCACATAATCCCTTGAATTTCTTCAAGTATGCATCTAAAGTTAGAGAACCCTTCTTCAGAGTAAGAAGATTTTCACTTATGTGAATTTCACTTTCTTTGGTCATTGTAAGTAGTTGATCTTCTAGAGATTTCCATACCTGATATGATGATTCAGTACCTTCAATCATGCTTAGAATTTCTTTAGATATGATCCCTACAACCATGAGGTGAGAAGGCCATCATTTCTAGCCCATACTGTATGCAGAGAATTGATACTTGTGGTTCCATCCTTGTCTTTCGTTTCATAATCTGGTGCTTCTTCACTTGTCAAATGGTGTTCTATTCCCATGCTCCTGATTAGAGGAAGAACTTGTGATCTCCATAATAAGTAAGTTTCCAGAATTAAGCTTAATTGATATAAGACTGGTGCATTGGTGGAAAGATTGTATATTGAGAGCAGTTTCTATTTTTGCCATGAGAAGAATTTAGATGAGTTGAGGTTGAATTTCTCTAGCAGATAGCGCTCTGATACCATAAAACAAATTCAACCTTGATTCAATTGAAATAATTCTCATACATGTTTCTTAAAGACGAAACTGTGGGAATCTTATACACCAAATGTATCACCTATACATGTTGTCAATTTAGGAAAGAATTTGACAGCAGGGGTGGCTGTCAATTAAGGAGGTAATTGACAACAATTGAAACTTGATTTTAGGATAAAGAAAGGTAAGATAAAACAACAGTAATATTCCCTTTATGGCCTAAATTATGAAAGATACAAATGTCATAAATAAAAGGATTTACCAATTAATACAAATGTTCCAAAGGTGGCTAGAATTATGAGTTTAGTATCGGTCTAGTTGGTGTATGTTTGTTGCTCATTTGACATTGATTTGCTGTTTGCATTTATATGCATACCGCCCCAGGTATGAGGGCATAATGACCAAAGGACCGCCGACTCTTAGGTAATCAAAGAGAAAAAAAAAAGTTCTACGCGAGTAAGGTAACAAGCTCCGTGTTATCTGTAAAATAAACGTGTGAAATCAGATTGGAGAACTAAAAAATGTTCTAAACTGAAGTACATAGAAAACAAATAAATTGAGATTAAACTAACTTATATTTTAAAAACCTAAAAATAAAGGTTTTACGGCTCTCTTTAAAATAATTATTATCAATTTTGCATTATTTTTGTATCAGTCTCTTTAAATTACAACTTTGACACATTACAATGTTGGTGATACAAACTGGCTACTTAGTTTTCTTGAATTTATTCAAATATTTGTGACTTTAATAATTAGTATCTAATTAATTCACTTGAACTTTTATTTTGATTAAACTTATTTGATGAAGTCATGTTGTATATCATTATTCTGCTCAAGGACAAACTAAAGGTTTATTAATAATAAAGACTAAAAAAATTAATTTCCTAATTTCATAGAATGAAACAGCTATATTGATTAAAGTTGAGTTTAAATAGAAAAGATTAAGATTTCACATGCAAAGATCCTAGTCATACTCTAATTAAGATTTTACATGCAAAGATCATAGTTATATACACTCAAGTATTAACTTAAATACTTTTTTTTTAGACATTTAACTTAAATACTTAGTCAATAGAGAAATGTATAATTAAATATATTATACATTGTCAAAATGTCCTTGGTAGAAGGATACCACCTCAACAACATGTCCATGACATTGTCAAAATGGTTCTTTCATTTAAGAGAATTTTTCTTTTTACACAAAGGAATGACAAGATATCATTTATCAATGAGCTTGAAGTTATTTGCATTTGAACAGACGACCTCAAAGTAACAAGTAGATTCATATATCGGTGAGTTTGAAGTTATTTGCATTTGAGCAGCTCAAACCAGCAACTTCCTCATTCCAATATCCATACTACACTCTTCACCCATTTATTTTGTGGCTTTGCTGATATCGATCCAAAGAACTATGAAGTTATCATTCCTGCTTCGCAAGCGACCCTAATCAATCAATTTTCTTCAATTGTGAGAATGAGCAATCCTGATGTGAAGACATTGTTGTCCATTCCAGGAGACAGAGACGTATTTACTAAAATGGCAAGCGAACCCACATATCATGAAGCATTTATTCAATCCTCCATTGAAGTAGCAGCAAAAGGCAAGTTCAACGATTTGGATCTGCAGTGGCTGTACCCATCTTCTCAAGAAGAAATGCAAAACTTTGAAATTCTCCTTGGTGCATGGCGCCAAGCTGCTGTGGATGATGCTAAAACCTACCATCGACCACAATGGATCTTGGTTGCTTCGGTCTCCAACTTACCCTATGTTGAGAGTAGTATCGTGTACCTAGTTCAAGGAATCAAACAAAACTTGGATTGGGTAAACCTCATTTCTTACGACTTTTACACCCCAACTTCCTTCTCCTCTACTACTGGACCATCCTCTGCACTCCACAACCGCATAGCCAGATCATTGTCCGCAAATTTTGGAATTGACGCTTGGATTCAAAGCCTTGCCAATTTGCCTCGTAAGCAGATTGTATTCGAAATCCCTTTCCACGGTTGGGCATGGAAGCTCGCCAACCCTGACAAGAACGACGTCTTTTCAAAGGCTCTTGGCCCAGCTAAAGGATATCAATATATTTCTCAAGACGGCCAAATCGATTACTCAAATGTCAGAAAGTTTATAAAAGAGAACCATGCTGAGTATGTGAAAGATGACTCCCGATATTCAATCTCCTACGCCTATGCTGGCAGCACTTGGATTGCATACGAAAGTGAATACATCATTCCGGATAAAATTTCATCTGCAAAGTCAAGCAAGGTGCTTGGTTACTTTGCTTGGAACATTGCTGCTGACAACGAAGTCAACACTCTTGCTAGCGCAGCCCAAACCAATTGGTCCTAATTTCATTTCCTTTCTTTCCTTCTTATCTTCGATCAGCTTTCAATTCGTCCAATAAAATCAGCATGCTATGCTATGCTAGATGCTGCAATGCCTTTTAATTCTAAACAATATTTAGCTTCATGCTATTGCTATCTTTAATTGTCGCTCGTCTTTTAGTTATTGTATTTCCTACCATTCAATAAAATTGTTACTCTACTTCCTTTTCATCAACTTCCTTCTCTCCTGTTCAATAATAACTTTTTGTACAGTAATGGGGAATGCTCAATTTCTTGAAGTTTGAACATGTTTTGATCAACCCAAAAATCCTGATTCAAGGACTTAGCTTGTGAAGAGATCAATTTATAGCTGACAACGATGCCAATAATGTTTTGTTTGACCAAAGGTTTGCAATTGCATACACATACTGTAATCCAACTGGGATTGCGTACGAAGATGAAGACACCATAAGTTTCAAGATTTCAAGAGTTAAACAAAACTTGGAAATTGCTTGGTTACTTTGTTTATGAAAACAATTGAAAGAAGAGGCAAGTTTCTGTAAGAATATTCAAATCTCAAATGCTATATTTTGCTTGATTATTTTACAGAAACATTACAACCTCTATATGAATTAGCTCGCAAAGAGTAAAATGAAACTATTGAATACATATAGCAAAACCGAGGTAATTAAGAGCTAACGGTAAAAATAAGGTTTCTAAGGATAGAAATATGACAGCCTCCTTCATAAGTTGTAAAGGCGGCCGGGAAGAAAAGAGATACATTAATTTCAAGTTGAGAAATATTCCAAGTTTACCCATATATTGATGTCTGCATTTAATATGAGTTGTTCGACATTGTTTCCTCGTTGTGTTTCTTTTTTTTTTTTTTTTGGTCCGACATTAAAATCCATATTTGTTGTTGTGTGTAGCCACGAGTGCTGACTTAGACTGATTTGGTGCTAACTTCTAACTTTTGTTGAACTTCCCTTCGATAGTTTACAGTTTGGAACATGTTATTTAATTGAACCAATTCATATTTGAGCTGGAGTTATATTCACAAGCTACCCATGTGACTTTATTTTTTGCTTAATGAGCAAAAGTTAGTTACTTGGTTGGTTATTTTGGGGATAGGGAGAGACTTTGTAATTTTCTCTAAAATAAAGAGAAAGGGGTGAGAAGGGATTAAGATACATTATCATCTTCTTCTTCAGCAAGAGTGATGTCAATGTTGATTCTTCAAAAAAGAGGTTGGATGTTCTTCATCTTTGTAAAAGCTTATTGATGTGAGATGCGATAAAAGCATAAACTCACCGAACACTTGATGTAGACTAACTTGGTTGAATCACTATATTTTGATTTAGATCTAAATGTTTAATTGTGCATATTTAGTCATGAGAATCTTTTGGATTTTCTTTCTCAACAGAACATTTCAACAAATGATGAAGAACATGATAAACAACAAAATAACACACCAGCAAAATGCAACAAAATAACACACCACCAGCAGAATATATTAACACCTAAGCAAGTGATTTCAAAATAGCAGCTGTAGATCATCTACAGATCCTTGATTGGAATGATTCCATGATCAACATATAATCTCCTTCCTTATTTGGTGAAGATTTTCAGCAATCTACAGCAACTCAATTACTCAGCACAATATCCCTCGATTGCTGGCCTTTATTCATTTCTTATTACCGTTGCAGCCTTTTCTTACCTATTTTACTTTCCTTTCTTGCTTTAGTCTTTCATGTGTCTATTTATCCATCTTGGATTTAGCTTGTAAAACATCTTTTTCACACAAATCAGAACATACATCATCTCTTTTCATTGTTCCTTCAATTCTATTTCTCTAACCCATTCTTTCCAGCTAAGTTTTATAGAACTCTCTTGCTAGGGCGGCATCTAGCGAATTGACAAATAACTATGAAAATGTTAGAATTAAGAGAGAAATCAGAGGATGGCGTAGGAGGAAGAGAATGAGAGAAAATTTTCTATTGAAGGATAAAATTGTACCCAAAATAATTATGAAAACGTTTAAATTAAAAAGAGAGAATAGGTAGAAATTTTTTTGATGTTTCCCACAGTGTTTTTTAATGAGAAAAAAAAAGTAGTATATTGACTTTGATTCATTCGGTTTTGTATTGGATACCAAAGTTCCATGTATAGGTCGAACCACTTATATCACTCCACTTCGGTATTAGTAATTGTTACTTCTTTCTACCATGTCAAAATTAGAAAATATAAGTCCGATAGAAAAAGGGGTTAAGTTTAATTTGATATATCATTTAACCAAACTATAGTAACTACAATGAAACCGAGCTACGAAAGGAACTACAATGAAACCGAACTCTGCAGTTGCAGAGTTGCCATACCCCATTCTGGAACGACCTGGGGACAAGACAACCTATACGATGCTGAAGAAATTGTACAATTTAAGGTCAAAATAAGCTAAGACAATGAAATTGTGTGGTTACTTTGTCTAGGATGTTGCTGCCCAGAATGAAAGATAACACTCTTACACGAGCTCATCGATCGAGTTGGGAGTAAAACCCTATATCACTCGTAAATGTTGTTACATACCTTAGTACTAACAAAAAAATAAATAAACAGATAAGCGTACTAGTTGCTTGAACATAAAAATTTCCTTGAAATATAGTAGGATATACATAGTCAATTCTTTTGACTTTGTACACTTAAACAAAGTGGAAAAATAACATTAACCTACCTAAGGCGATCAGGTAACTTTTTTGTTTCTGGTTTGGTAGTACTTTTTTTTATTTCTAATTTTTTTGTAATATATAGTCCGTAAGGGACAACTTCATTGGCAAGAGCATGGAGCCTCGTGGTATTACCTTACTACAAGGTGTGTTCAAATCTTTTGGATGAGTTTAATACCAAAAACTTTTTATGTTTCCGATTATAGGATTAAAAAGCTAGAGAATATTATCAATTATATGGATTATCGAACCATACATAAACATTTGGGTAATTGTTCCCTATTTCTCATTTTCTTATTTCTAAGAAAGGTTCCAAGACTATATAAATTTTTTGAAACAACCAAAGTTGTTTTTTTTTCTTGTTCCGGTTTCTCATTTTTTTCATCAACATGAATTATATTATATTATATTTTTAGAATATTTAAAATTAAATATAACATAACTATTTTGTTTCAAAAAACCAATTTTAATATAAAACATTTTTAAATTTAAAATTTAAGAAGCCAATGATGTTTGCTTCAAAATATTACTAATTAAACTGAGAAAAACACAATATATATGGCTGAACTTTTATATATATATATATAGCTGACATAAGTTCTTAGCTGAAAATTGGATCTCTTGGCTTAAAATACATGGAAAACTTAACCCATTAGAGCTAATACGACAAAGGGAAGTTAGATAGATATATAAGTTAATTATTTAATCAAATAGAGTATGTGACTTAGTGGACAAAGGGAGGTTAGATAGATAAATTAGTTTAATCAAATAGAGAGATCCTTAATAGGAAATATTATAATAAAATATAAAAATGTTAAAAATCACATTTGGTCCCTGCGTACTTTAACTACAGTAACGATTTAGTCAAAAATAACGATTTAGTCACTGTAAAAAATTATTTTTAAAAGTTCAGAGAATAAATTGTTACTTTAGTTAAAGTATAGAAACTTAAGATGTACAAGTGGATAGAGTGATATCAAGAAGAGAGATCTAGCTCCATTATTTTATTGTCGTTAGTTCCATACATTAAAATGGCCCAACCAACAATCACATATTTTGTGAATGGTGGTTATTGGCTAATATAAGACAATAGAAAAAGAGATGAGAAGGCTTGGGTTAGAGAAATAACTAGGGACCTCCTATTGTTCATCATTTCCATGAACAAAATAAGAATGAATAAATTATTTAGTGGATGTCAATGACGAAGATGAGACGTTTGGTCTTTTTTAAGAAACCAATAATGATGCTGGTTAAAATATTAGTGAAATTAATGTCGACTAAATTAAGTGGGAAAAGTATATATATTATAGACAAAATAAAAGTGTGACAATAATTCTCATTTGAAATTTTAATTTCTTAGCCTTAAAAAGAACTTCGTCAAACCGAACACATTAGAGCGCAGCTAATATAGACAAAATGAAGTTAGATCAATAAATTTGTTTAATCCAACGATAAGTCAAAGGAAGTTAGATAGATAAATTAGTTTAATGAAATAGAAAGAGTATGCATAAAGCATAATATTTCTAATACCCTCCGTGGTCGAATTGAACACGGAGGGTATTAGATTCATCCTATGACAAAATGTCGTTGGCTCCATTATTCTTTGGTCCGTTTCCGTTTCGTTCGAGAGAAACGAGCGAACGTTCATGAATTGCGCTTCTTCATCCACCATCTTTGAGAAGATATTAAAGTTCTTTTGTTTTCTCTTGGACGATAAAATCTTCTCATTTTTGTAATTATATGATATATCTACTATCTCACTAAATTGGAGTGCTTTTATCTGGTCTCTGTCTTTTTGTGTAGTCCCTCACATACCCTTAATGAAATTGATGTATAAAGCATAATATAATATATAGAAAAATATATTTTTGATACACGAAGTTTGAAATATGTATCTATTTGGTTTCTGAAATTTCAAAACGAACATTTTTAGTCTCTAAAATTTTTTAATTAGTTCCTCAAGTTTCAAGATAGACATTTTTTAATATAATTTAAAGACACTTATTTCAAACTTCATCGACCAATAATTAATAATATCATTGAATAAATTAGCAACAATAGCGATAACATTTGCTGAAGATGGGAGAGGAGGGAGGGAGAGGGGAAAAATAGAACCCACAAATATAATATTAAATATATATATTTTGTCAATCTACAATTTATTTAACCACCACAGATTAGTCAACTAAAGCGAGCAGGACCATTTTATAACTCTTCCCCAGAGAAAAAAAGGTTTTGAAACTTCAACAACCAAATAAATGCTTATTACAAATTTTAATTAGGATAAAGTGTTGATTTTGAAATTTTAGGTCTAACGACAAAATATATATCTATCTATATATATATATATTTTTTTTTTCCCTATAATATATAATTTAAAGAAATAGGAAGGTATAATTATTTTCGAGAGCATACATTACATATAAAAGCAACAACCACATCAACAAACTTGTTTCCTTTTCTAAATGGCCCCAAGTTTTGTGCGTGCTGGTTACTGGTTCGCCAGCACCGAGGCCGAGCTTCCTTCTGCCAACATCGATGCTAAATTTTTCACCCATCTATTTTGTGGGTATGCTACTGTCAAACCCGAAACTTAGGAGGTAATCATTGATCCTTCAGAAGCCATCATAATCAATCATTTTACTTCGACTGTCAGTCTAAGCAATCCGACAATCAAAACTCTGCTATCCATCAGAGGAGATGAAAGCGTACTCGCTAAAATGGCTAGCGACCCCACAAATCGTGAGGCCTTTATTAAGTCCTCGATTAAGGCAGCAAAAGAGGGAAAGTTTGATGGCTTGGATCTGCAGTGGATATACCCATCTTCCCAAGATCAAATGAAGGATTTTGAAAGTGTCCTTATTGGGTGGCACAGTGCTGCTGTTGAGGATGCTAAAGATTACCATACACAACAATTGATCCTTGTTGCTGCAGTCTCCAATTTGCCCGATGTACACCACAATATTCAATATCCAATTGATACAATAATACAAACCTTGGATTGGGTCAACCTTTTTTCTTATGACTTTTACACTCCAACTTCTTCAGTGAAGTTTACTGGACCATCTTCAGCACTCTACAATCCAAAGACAGACTCTTTGTCTGTAAATTTCGGTATGAATTTAATTCAAAGGCCAAATATAGTGTGAGTGTTTCCTTTTAATTTTGTTTGTATTGTTTATCGTATGAGTTTTAACATTTTTTTTTAATTATGTCATCTTTTTGTTAGTCAGTGTTAAAATTGGCAGAGATAAACCTACGTGATGTGTTTAGTCTGTGCTTGGCATATGCCTTTTAAAGTGCTTATGGTGGAATATAAGTACTTTTTTTAAAAAAAAATGGAAAGTATTTGGTTAAATTTTAACGAGCGATTTGAACCCATTAAAAGCCATTTCTAACATTTTTTTATAATAAACGAAGTTTGAAAAATTGTAAAACAAATAAAAAAACACTTTACATTGCTTTTAGATCAATGGTTTAATTAGTTTTCTTTGGGAGGTGCTTGCAAAATAAATACTTTCAGGTTGGGGTTATAAGGAGGGCAAACAAAGTGGTCCATGGTATATATATCATGAGAACAATTAGATTTTTTTTTGAGTGAAATCAAAAAGATTATATCCCAAGCAGACAATATCATATAATCATAGAAATACTTGGATATTTAAGATACCATTCTCCTTAGCGCTCACTTTTGAAATACCTTCTTCAATTTACATCGCACAATACTTTAGAGAGTTGACCATAGCATGCTCAAGAGAGACAATTTAGAGGAAACTTTCTTAATTCCTACTTGAAAATTTTGAGAAATTGATCGATGAAATTTTGATTTTTTCCTCTCTTATGGTTTAATTCCTATGCTAAATTGCTTATTATCAACCAGTTTTAATATTCACTTTATAATTGAAAATGTTAAAACATGAGGAAATAAAAATAAATTGACAACCTTGGTTAAATTTCCTATCTTTAGTCTTATCCCATTTTTGGATGGATCTAAAATGAGTTCTTTAGGCTGCAACCAGATAAGTAGTCTATGTATTTATAAACCTTTTTTAGGAATAATATATTTTCAACTTGGAATTCTTAACATTAACTAAAAACTAAAACATATATTTAGTCTAGTTAAATAGTAAATTGCACCCACCATTCTTTCATTTGCTCTTTTTATACACTCTTAACATTGGTTACTTGTGTTAATTCAAGCCTTTCTCAACGGGTCAAGATATGCATCTGTGTGTTCGATCTCCCACATACATGTTGTTATACTAAAAAACGCCTTTGATTGGTGATTCCTTGCATTGAATTTATGGAACAGGTATCGAGTCATGGATCAAATGTTATCCTAATTTGCCTTCCCAACGGATTGTATTTGGAATTCCTTTCCACGGTTGGGCATGGAAACTTGCCGATCGTCTCCAGCACGACGTGTTTTCGGAGGCGGATGGAGCAGCAATAGGACACGATATATCTTCAAATGGCCAAAATCTACTACTCCAATATTAAGTTTATAGAGAGTAATAAGGCTAAGAATCTAAAAAATGACGGCAAATATGTAATTGGGTACACATATTTTGATTCAACTTGGATTGCCTACGAAAATGAAGAAACCATACCAGAGAAGATTAGGTTGGCAAAGTCCCACCACGTGCTTGGTTACTTTGCTTCCAACATTGCAGCCGATGATGATGCTAACACTCTTGCTAACGCAGCTAGAACCAATAATTGGCCGTGAGCTGAGGTTGCCCATATAAGTTGGAGATCGTTGTGTTTTAATTAGTTTTGTATTTTCTATTGTCTTTTGTGTTGTGTTTGTAAGATTTGAGGTTTTGCGATGTATCCAATAAAATGAAATTAGGGTCGTGTTTCTATGAACTACAAAACGGTATTATTGAGATGCGAACAATGTCTCGGAGAAGAAGGAAAGATTTCATGGTAGATGAATAAAGGACAACATTTCTTCCTAGTATTAGGTCTTTCAAATAAAAACCAAACGTTAAATTTATCATGCGCACTTAAGTCAAAAGTAGACAATATTACACCATTGTAGCATGAAACGATGGTTTGAATTTCTATATCTTGCTTATTTCGCTACTCGTTCAAGTACATTCTATTTCAGGTGTCCTTAATTGCCTAATACAACACTTCTCAAATTCATTTCTTGATCCCAATCTTCATCACTCATATTAAATTTTGTAGGACCTCTACAGGAACCACCACTAGATTCCACTCGATCACTATCTACTCTTCCCTTCAACACCTTGTGTAACGTAAATTGTATCAAACACATCTAGACTTCTTGCCACAAGCCAAAGTATATTAATCATTTCATAATATTTCTCCACATGAAAACATCAATGTGCCCATAAAGTTTGACATACATGTGTTGATATAAAACCAAACTAAAACAAGAAAAATCAAGGTTGATATGATTCAGCGAGCGTACCATCAAACTACATTGAAGATACAAACTTGATGATTTTGTTAATTTCGTTTATTTTAATTTTAGTCAGGCGCTTAGCCAATTAGGTCTTAGTTTCTTTATTTTGGACAATTATTGGCCTTAATGCTTATTTAATTATTTTTAGTTAGTTATTTTATTATTTTACCAAAATAAATTAGGATTTTAGTATTTGATGTCACCTAGGTTATTTATCGGTAAGCCATCTATAAACTTATCATTTAGGTTGTGAGGGACAGTTGAGTTTTAATGGAAATTTGAGCGTTTGAGTTGTTTCTTTCAAGCTAGTCAAGAGCGTTTGGATTTTGCAATCCTTGATCTAGGTTGCAAACTTGGAACATTCAAGATGGGGTTGTTGATCAGTCTCTCTTGTGGAGTGTTCAACATTGAGTAGGGAACTAGTTCTCCTTGCCTCGTGGTCTTCGATCAACAAGGTAACCTTCATCTAATCTTCCTTGGGATTGTGTTAAATTGATTTTGGGGTTTTAGTGTTTGTGAATTAGGGGTTCATATACCCAAAGGGTTCCTAATTCCAATATGCTAGGATTTTCATATGATTTGGTATCAGAGCTTAGGCTCTAGATTGGGTATATTCGTGTCTTTGATTTCTATATTATTATTATTATTATTATTATTATTTTATTGAGTCTAGTAGCGTCTTAGGAATTTGAATTCTTTCTTGTTGAGTCTAGCACTACTAGGGTCTTTGTGTTCATATTTTTTTAAGAAAAAAAAATTAGTCAAAAAAAAATTCATCATAGCTATTTGTCAATTTATTGGTTGATTTTGTGAGTTTTGATCTTTCAATTTTGCTATTTAAAACAGAGTAGGAACTTATATTAGAGGAAGTGCTCTGATGGGTTGATTAAAAAAAGAATCTTACCACTCTGGCAGCAGAAGGAATCGATAAAGGAAAAAGAAGAAGGGCTGAGGAAGAAAAATTGAGGCGGTGGAAAAACAAATTCAGAAGTTGTCATTCGTAAAGTCAGAAATTGTGGTACAGAGAGATAATTTAAAGAAAGATTATTGGAAATTTTCCTCTTCCCCAGTTCGTCAGTCGTACACAATCTAAGAAAAATATGAAAAGCACAGTAAACGACACAAGCAATTTATACTGGTTCACCCCAACTATGGCTACGTCCAATCTATTCTACTATGATTTTGGGATAAATACAATGGACCTCACAAACGCTCTACAAAGCTCTCTCTAGATGCTACAACAATGGCCACCTAGTTTTTAAGAACTACAATAATAGTTACTTAGGAATATGGAATGAAAAACCTCACTGACCTCAATAAAACGGGCTGCGGACAACACACTACAAAACCCTTGTTCTCCTTTCTCTTCTCTGCAAAAAGCACCACTGCCACCCCTTCAATGTTGTGCAACAACACACCTAGCCGACACTCTAATTATTATTATTATTTTTTTTTTTTTTCTTTTTTGTCTCAACACCTCACGGCTAAAGCCTTCTGAAAAACAAACTTGGTGAAGAAGGCAAAAATTAGGTTTGGGCCTTTTTGTTTTATTTGGCCCAAAAACTGCAACATTCCCATTTCTTTTAATTTGGCTCCACTCAATTTCCCAACAATCTCCCACTTGGAGACAAAATAATAATCTTGCTTCCCATGGCAACAATAGTGTCCCCTATGACTCAATATATTCTAACTGCACGAACAGTTTTCAACTGAACGACGTCTTCTTGGCACCAACCAAGGCTCAACTCCCACTGCACCGACAGTTTCTAACTTCTTCTTGGCACCAACCAAGGCTCCATCTATGATTGATCTGAGACTGAACAATCCTACGTGGTCTTGTCTCCCAAACGTTAGAGACACAATCACGTGCTCCCACTCGAACTAAGTGGTCATCGACGCTTCCTTCTTTACTCGCACCCAATGACTCTTGATGGAAAGCTTTTTCACTGATGACTTGGCACTCCCACCCAAGTTCGTTGCCACCCTAGAACTTCACCCTCGACCTTAGCACCCACTGTAGTCTTTCTCAATGCACTCTTTCGCCTACACGACTTCATCAGCTCATTAATCCATCTGACAACTGGGGCTCGAAACTGACAGTTTGTTGAATGCCTCACTGAGTTGTTCCCCTTCCCCTTTCCTCTACTTCCCAGCTATTGTACTTGAACTGATAGCGGATTCTTCTGATTTGTTCCGACTGTCAATGCTGCTAGTTCTTTCAAGTCTCCCCTGAACTATCTGCAGCCCTGTGCATGACCTGTCTCCCTAATCCTCTAGCAACACCAAACCTCAACACATACATTGAAGCTTTTCTGTGGCCAACAACCACTATGTCGGATCGCCTCATGAGGTTCCATCTATTCTCTACAAACTCACTTATGTAGCCTTCGTCATCTAGCTTCCCCACTGATATCAAATTCATCCTGAAACTAGGTACATACCTGACATCATGCAAAACTAATTCGGTCCCACTAGCAGTCCTCAGACGAACATCCAATTCCTCTGATCTTGAAGAGTCTCCCATTTTCCCATCCTTACCGCGCCATGATTTCCTACAATAAAAGACGTGAACCAACTTCTGTCTGAAGCTACATGCACCGAAACTGCACTGTCCACTACACACTCTGATGACCGGTCTACAGGTGTTGTGTTACCTTCAATACAAGCTAACACCTCCGCTGACACGTAATTTAGAGTGTCCTCATTTTCCTGATCCTCCTTACGCTTCCTGCAGTGTTTCTTGAAGTGGCCCTTCTTATGGCAGTAAAAACATTCAACTTCCCCACTGGAACTCCTACTACCCCTGTTATTCCTATGTTCCTGCTTCCCGTTGTACTTCATCTTGCCCTTCCCCTTAAATTGAGCTACCAAAACTGATTCAATTCCGTTCTCTGCCCCTAAAGTAGTTGCAGACATTTTCCCTAATTTTCTACGGGCTTCTTCAGATAAGACGGCATCACAAATAGCTGAAAATTTCAAGCTATTTTCTCCTCGCGAATTCGACACAGCGGTCTTCATCATCTCCCAACTATCAGGCAAAGATGTCAACAACCTCATAGCCTTCACCTCTTCCTCAATCTTGTCACCCATCTTTTCTAATTTGTTCAAGATATCGGTGAGCTCATTAATGTGGGAATTCACCGAGGTTCCCTCCTCCATGTGGATGTTAAAATACTTTGTCCATAAAAATATTTTTGTATTGGCAGAAGGTTTTTCATACCTGTCTTGCAAGCCCTTCAACAATTCTTTTGCAATCGTCTCTTTCACCACGAGACGGAATACCCCCAGTGCCATTCTGATATTTGCAACGACCTGCTCATCTATCTCATTCCAAGTTTTGTCTGTCATATCCGCTGTTCTCTCCCCCCAAAGTCTTGTGTATCTTCTTGCACGTAAGAAGATCATTTACTTGCATCTTCCAAAAACTGAAATTTTCTCCACTGAACTTCAGAACCACTTCATAGTAATGGTGTGTTTGATATTTGTCTCACATGACTCTGCAACCTGGCTCTGATACCACTTGTTGGAAAAATTTACTCACCAATAATATTTTCCCCTTCCACCGTTCATCAGTGAAAAACTAAGTCACACACAATACTAAGAAAAATAGGGAAAGTAGAGAAAACGACACAAGCAATTTATACTGGTTCACCCCAACTATGGCTACGTCCAGTCTTCTACAAAAACGTGTTCTACTATGATTTTGGGATAAATACAATGGACCTCACAAACGCTCTATAAAGCTCTCTCTAGATACCACAATAATGGTCACCTAGCTTCTAAGGACTACGACAATAGTTACTTAGGAATATGGAATGAAAAACATCACTAACCTCAAGAAAACGGGCTGCTGACAACGCACTACAAAACCCTTGTTCTCATTTCTCTTCTCTGGCAAAAGCACCACTGCCACCCCTTTCAATGTTGTGCAACAACACAACTAGCCGCATTCTTTTTTTATTTTTTTTTGTCTCAACACCTCACGGCTAAAGCCTTCTAAAAAACAAACTTGGTGAAGAAGGAAAAATTAGGTTCGGGCCTTTTTGTTTTATTTGGCCCAAAAACT